GTAAATTGAACATTAAAAAGATTGAAGGGAGAAACCAACTCGCAGACTTATTCACTAAAGGTCTCCAAGGCGACCGTCTCAAGTCACTCTGTCATCAAATCGGTCTCCAATCGATTCAGTCAGTTTCCCCACAACTTGTCGAATCGGAGGAGTGTTAGCCACAGCTGGTCTTAATGAGATTCGGCCAAGTTGCATCACAGCACTATATCATGAGAGTCAGTCTCAATCCTATTTCTCATTCAATATTATCATCTTACTTAGCGTTCTCGCTTCCCAATATCCTACTTTACTTACTTGATCCCCTTATCCTACGCGCCTCTCAAATTCAAAATCACCTCAGCCACTAATGCGCGTCATAATATATACACATTTTGTAAGACAACAACTAAGACACCATATATATTTCATATTCCTTTCTCTGGACTCCTAATTCTTCCTCCCAGTCTAGGATATTAGGTCTCTCAGGTTAACATTCAACTTTTGATATCACAAATTTGATATCCGAAATTTAAAATGCTGTAAAATTTTTCAGTTACCAAGTTTTTTTTTTTTGAGAATGTTGGTACGTAAATATCAGACACGATTTATTATAGGTTGTGAAAGTATAAGTACGTTATAGAATGATCATTTAAGATGATTGTTTCTTTTTACAAGATATGTTTCTTTATATAGTCTCTACTGTCCTCATGTTCCTTGTCGTCCTCTTGTCCTCTACTGCGCCTCGGTGTTCCTCTTGGTTCTTGGTGTAACTCCTTGTTCCTTCTATCCTTAGTCACTAAATGATGCTGTATGTTCAGCCCTGTATCTGTATTCTGACAGAGAGAATTGTTGAATTGTAATGCGGACTATAATACGCTTCTGTTTCGATCCAGTTGATTGTACCGTTCTTATGTCCCAGGTTTAATTGCATTGTTCCTTCGAGTGACGAGTTTGATTCACTGCTAAGTGTGCCAAAGCGTTCAGGCGTATTGAGTTGTCTTATATTAGTAAGTAGATCTAATCTACAAGTGCATGTAACGTCTGAACCTTGATCGAAAAATGCGGTATCAGGAGGAAAACGTCCTGTCATTAATGTTCTATAGTTCGCAGGTGAAAGTTGTGGTTGAGAGCTTAGCTTTGTCTCTGGGGTGTTGATACAGCGTTGTCTTTCGAATCTGTTAAGTTGTTTATTTTCATGTGTTTATCTTTTGAGTTCTGGATGCAGGTGCCCGCAATCATTGTTTGTGTGTATTTGTGGTGATTTATGGCGTTTTTCTAGACAATTTGAACAGAATTTGATATTAATTCGATGCAATAGATTGTTTGTTGAAGTTTGATCCTTTTCTGGGCTGTTTCTGTCGTTGTGTTTGTTCGCACGATTTAATAGGGTTGTCTGGTTAACTGACATATTTTTGATTGGTGGATTAAGTTTAATGCGAATGTCATATTTCCTAACGATCTCGTCGACGAGGTTGTCATAATTGTATTCTGTCTCTGTCTGGTCGTAGACTTCGTATTTTACTTGTTCTAATTCAAGAGGTAAAGCTTGTACTGCTTGGTGTCTTAGGCCTTGTTCTCCTATGGTTGGATTTGCCTTTCGTAATTTGTTGAATATGACTTGCAAGTCCCTGTAGAAGCCCCTTGCATTATCCCCATATCTTAGCTTACTGTTGTAGAATTCTGTTTGTAATTCTGGTATGTTTTCTTGTTGTCCAAATCTCCCACAAATGTTTTGGTACATTTTGGCTATGGGGGTTGAAGAGTCTATATTAGCTGGGTTGAAAACATCTTCGGTAATGGATCCTAGTAGTATTTCAGATAATTCAGATTCCTTTTGGCGGTATACTTCTAGTGCTTTTGCTTGTAGTTCATTATTTTTATTATGGTCTATTTCCATATCATTTTCTCTTGAGTATGGTTCATTTTGATTATTAAGTCTATAGCGTTACTTTCATTGATTTTTCCTCGTAAAATTTCTAGAGTGCCTCGTTTGATGGCTTGTCTTTCGATTTGAGTCTTCCAAAGATAGTATTCACTTTCTTTGGATAATTTCATAAAGATTGGTGAGTTTTGAATTTTTAGTTGTGAGTGTATTTTTGGTTTTGTTTATGAGTAATTGGAGCTGATAACTTGTTTTGAGTATATTTTATATTTTTTCCAAATGTTTTACATATGTATTTTAACAACTGCACGCATACATTCTTATCTTGAATAGATCAAAACAATTTAATTAAAAATCTAAGACCGTTCTAAATATATCTAAATTTTTCTATAACAAAGTTTTAAGTATGTATATGTATTTTAACTATTTCAGTTCTAATCTCAATATAGTATGAACTGCTAATGAAAAATTGATTGAAAGAGTGAACGAAACGAAACTAATTAGGGAATAAAAACAACTGTCGTTGTTTTTAACTGTGACTGTGAACCTTCTAAAGCTCATCATGATAATTCCACTTAGCACAGCCTGGTTGGGGACCATCTTCATTCCATTTACAATTGTACTTAGTAGTCTGCTCACAATTGATGATACCTGGATCCATATGATCCGACCCTGCAACCACTTTCAATGTCGCAGACCAAACACCTTTTACACTCGGAATCTAAAAGGAACTCTGTCACAGTTTCAATACCCTCAAATATCGTATGGTCAATTGCTTGATTAGAACAAGTGCCTTCATTAATAAGAGCGAACTTCGTTCCACTATTGTTACCAGCATCATAAAACTTAACATTGTCACATGAACCACGTCTTCTCGCTCATTCTATCCCGGATGACAACCCCTGGACCAGGTACGGAAAAACTGCTGTACCAGCTAAAACAACACTGCCTAAATTGGAAGGATTTTCATACCAAGAAGGTGGGGGATCCCCTCTCAGCATCCCAGCTCGTTCAGCAGCATTCATAACAGCATCATACATAGAAGCGTAATCACTACCATCACGTATTTTCAGAGGTTCTTGGTTTGGAGCATAATCTACCTCTCTTTTCCTTGGAGGTTCATCGTAAATTCCATTACAACAAGCATCTAATCCTAATCTCCTTTCCAAAGCTCTTGGCTCCATATCTCTAACATTAGAGTTATATCCATAATTGCCAAACATACCACTTATATCTATTTTTACTGAAGGTCTATTTCAGTTTGTTGACTACTAAAATCTGATATGCCAGATTCATCCACAATACAAATATCAGAACCACCACACTTCTCCTTTCCAAATACGGAGCGAGCTTCTGAGAAACATAAAAGCAGCAAAATAGAGTAGATAGTGCAGTAATACAGTGTGCTATATCTATGAAAGCCATATAACATAATACTGTGAACTTGTGGCGGTACCTGGTGATTGTTTGGTATTGAAATTCACTGAAAAGCTTTTTTTTTTTGAAAAGGGGTCTTTTCAAAAAAAATAAGTAAAAATCACCTTATTAATAGATAATTACAGGCTCCCTCTCGTGATTAATAAAATTCCTGTAGGTGTAAGCGTGCGCATGCGAGCGCCAGTAATAATCTAGAAGAGACGGTGTGCCTTACCCATAGTGCTCTTAAGGTGGAGAGACTTGACGTTTTGCCAGTTCTTCTTAAGGAGGGAGACAAGGAAGTTGACAGCGAGGACAACGAGGACAACGTTGGCGACGATTTCCGTCTTCAGCCATGTCAATTTTACCGACAGCAACACCCATACAGAGAACCTTCTTAAGTTGGAACTTGATGGTTGACTTGACATCGTTGATCTTCTGTTCGATGTCATCTGAGTGGGAGATTGGAGTTGGGAATTTACCAGCCTTTGAGAGCCCCGGACCAAGCAAACGAGGAATTTGCTTGATGAGGGCTTCAGAGGTGATGAAGGCATCTTGTGACTTGGCCAACTTCTTGACGAGCTTCTTGTTCTTTCTGTCCCTAGCTGTTAAATGATGCTGTATGTTCAGCCCTGTATCGTTATTATGACACATTATCTCTCCTCTGAAAACGATATCTAAACCCCCCCCTATATAACTCGATTTGTACTATTCGTGTTCATGAAGTGAAGTTACCAAAGTAAGCTGGCAGATTGGAAAAAGTAGGACAATGAAACAGCGAGGAATATCGCAATTTGTTGTATTAACTAATATGCTAGACAGAACAGCTAACATGAAGATATGTTTTGTGTACTTGTTGGATCCTAACTCTCCTCAGAAGACCCGTTCAAGAGAACATAGTAGCGTATGCGAATCATGGACTCTCTCTATCAAGCACAGACGTAAGGCGAAGCACATCAAGTCGGAAATCAGTAGCTGATGTACGCAGGAATAGTCCAGTTTTGCCAAGATAACGAATACAAACACTAGTAGAAATGTGGTTCACCACGCTTGAAAGCATCTTTCTTAATCGACTTCTTCAAGGCTTTTGTCTTTGCGTTGCGTTTTGGTCCACATATGAACACACGCGTGAGCATGTCTGACCTTATGGCTTCTTCTACGTGGTATCGATACCAGCTTTAAAAGCACACAGAATTCTGTAACAGACTTGCTCCTAGTTGTATTAGTTTAAAAAGACCATTATGAATCATAGCGAACCACCGGTTTACAGATATTACTAAGTTACTTTTATCAGATAAACGAAAGTCGAAGAAAAGCAGCGAAGTCAGCTATAAACAATCATGAATAAGTCGAGTTCTACGTCAATACCGTATTACTTCATGTTCCACTTTCGTTCTAATCCAAGGATGAGTACTTTTTCGGGCTACTTTAAAGATGTTTTCTAGGTTAACTACTCCATACTTAATAATTTGACCCATAATGCAATAATCAGAAGGGGCAATGTAATTAGTAATGTGTTATCGGATATTATACATACCATAAGCAGAAAAGCGTAGAAGTCGTAAGACACCTAAAAAAGACGATAGGCTATGAAGTTAGTTATATATGTTAAAATAACTCCCATTTGCAAGTGTCCTCCTCATACGTGGGTTCTAAATGTCTTCAGCAAATTTTCCAATGCTGTAAAAGAACTATTCACTTGGCAGGATGATAATAACTATCACAATAGGTCGCTTCTTACGAGAGTGGCTTGCAAACCAAGATGTATCGACAACGAGTACTCATTCATGGGTGATTAATACATAATTTATTCCTCTGAACGAAGACGTGCTGCAGCGTTAGTGACCTTAACGTTGAGGGCCTTGGCACTGATGGGATGTCAGAAGCAATAAAGCGAAACAAGTGGTTGCTTACCGAGCAATAATTTCAACACGCTTCTTTGAGGAGACGTTGTGAGCGATCTCAGCAGCGAACTTTCCAGAGTGCATGAGGAGGAGGTCAACGTCCTTGGTGTTGTTGACGACAACGGTCTTCAAGCCGTTTGGACGCAAGTGACGGGTGACCTTGTTTGAACCGAAACCGATCTTTGGCATAGTTGGTTGACCCTTGAAGCGACGACGCATAGCGTTGTCAATACCCCTTGGCTTTCTCCATGATGAGGAAACACGGTGGAAACGATCTGACTGGAATCTGTTGAACGATCCCTTGGTCTTCTTGACGATCTTTGGCTTGATTTGGCTGACCATTATCCCCTATTGAAGTATATTTAGCTTATGAAAGGATAATTTTACTATATATTTACCTTAAGTTGTCGCTGAAGAAGGCCAAATCTGCCTCGTAATTTTGTCGACGACGAAATCTAAAAAATTTTAAAATAAAAATACGAAGACTGTAGAATAAAGACAAATAAATAATAAAATTATTATTATTCCATTGCATTTATTAAATAACTACCTTGAGAAGACAAGATGGTATAATGAGAGTGTTTCTTGACGATAATAGCTGTAACCTTATAGCGACTAGTTAATATACATTTTCTACACTATTCACACTTTATATAGCACTATAGCCTCTTGAAATTGACACACCAAGACGACAAAGAGTAATAATGATATTCCAGCCCATAAATTACAAATAACTAATAAATACACCTGCAGTGCCACCAAAAGCAGATGAGAGTCTCGTCAGACTCTTCACTTCACTCGGTCTGAATGAAGCAAAAGGTGTTGAATACGCAAAGTCTAAGCATTCAAAGATATTAAACGAATCAATTCAAGAAATTGGACTAGAGAATGCAAAGTTAGATGAGAAGATGGCTACTTTGATAGCATCCACTATCACAGTAGACAAGCAATTCAACGGTCTTCCTTTGCCATATAAAGCCTACATTATAGAGAAAATAAAGAACGGCGACTTGAAGGAATCAAACCAAGTTACAGGTGGGTCTGATTACTCTGGTGATCGTACTGACAGTCTCCAGCCGCTGTCAAATACCTCTCAGACAAACAAGGTGATATCAACCAAGACGAATTCAACGAGAACGCAGGCGTTGGTGGGTGTTTATTAAAAATACAACGTTACAATCCTAACAATGAAAGGCATCGTCGTACCTGTCGCACTCATTAGAGAAATCGCTCAACAATCACTTGATCCAAAAGCAAAGGATTTACCTAACCCATGGTCTTCTCACGGTTTACTCATCAAGTCACTCAAGGAGAAGCCAGAGTTAAAGTGGTCAAACCCACTCGAATTGAAGAACCAAGTTGACGCCTTATACACTGAAAACTTCGGCACTAGGGATGAATGTAACAAACGCCTCAAAGAGGCAGCAAAGAATGCTCCAAAGGTGAGTATCAAGTGCATCTATTTACTCGTGTTCACAAATTCAGCCTTCGAAGGAATCCACCAAGAAGCCTTCACAACCTGCAGTTGAGACCAACATTTTCGAACAAGGTTTCTTAGGTGCACTTCACAAGCCAGGTGGAAACCCTCAAATCAAGCCAGAGCTACGCGACCAACATCTTAAAGCTACGGATGGTAAAGTTATCACAAGATTCCCACCAGAACCAAATGGGTTCTTACATATTGGACACTCAAAGGCTATCACAGTCAACTTTGGTTATGCTGCTAACTTCCAAGGTCACACTTACCTCCGTTATGACGACACTAACCCAGAAGCTGAAGAACAAGTTTACTTCGAGTCAATCTTGGAAAGTGTAAGGTACGTATTGAGTATATTGTTCATGTTATTACTTACTAACACTCATCCAAGGTGGCTCGGATTTGAGCCATGGAAGATCACCTATTCGAGTGATTATTTCCAACAACTTTATGAACTTGCCATTGAGCTCATTAAGCGTGGTAAAGCATATGTTGACCACTCAACTGGTGAGGAAATGCAAATTCAAAGAGGTGGTGAAAACAGAGGACCTAGAGTTCCTTCACCATGGAGAGAGAGACCAGTTGAAGAGTCTTTGCAAGAATTTGAGAACATGAGATTAGGTAACTACCAACCTGGTCAAGCAACACTCAGAATGAAGCAAAATATCGAAGATGGTAATCCTCAAATGTGGGATTTGGTAGCATACAGAGTGTTGAAGGCAGCTCACCATCGTACCGGTGACAAATGGAAGATCTATCCAACTTACGATTTCACACACTGTTTAGTTGATAGCTTTGAAAACATAAGTCACTCATTGTGTACTACTGAGTTCGTACTTTCTCGAGTATCCTACGAATGGTTATGTGATGCTCTTGAGGTATACAAGCCAAGACAATCAGAGTATGGAAGATTAAACATGCAAGGTACAGTCATGTCAAAAAGAAAGATCATGAAATTAGTCAAAGAGAACCACGTTAGAGGTTGGGATGACCCACGTCTTTATACACTCATTGCATTGAGAAGAAGGGGTGTACCACCATCTGCAATCTTATCTTTCGTAAAGTCATTAGGTGTGTCTACAGCAGTGTCATCCATCTTAACTAGCAAATTCGATCAATCTGTTAGAGATGATCTTGAATCAAAAGCACCAAGATTGATGGCCGTCATTGATCCAATCAAGTTGGTTATTACAAACGTACCAGATGACTATATGGTTCAAGTTAAGAAACCTTTCCATCCAAAAATACCAGAATTTGGCGAAGCAACAATTCCATTCTCAAAGGTCGTATACATTGAAAGATCAGATTTCCGTACAGTCGATGATCCAAACTTCTTTAGAATGGCACCTGGAAAGTTAGTCGGTTTATTGAACGCACCACATCCAGTCAAGTGCACTTCATTCAAGGAAGAAAATGGCAAGGTTGTTGAAATTACAGCTGAATTGGTCATACCAAACGAAGGTGAAAAACCAACGAAACCAAAAGCATTCATTCAATGGGTTGCTGAACATAAAGAATCTAACTCACCAGTTAAAGTTAACGAATTGAGAATATTCAATCAATTATTCAAATCTGATAACCCATCAGCTGCTCCAGACCTCATTGCTGATCTCAACCCAGATTCAGAGGAGATTATTAAATCCGCATTTGTTGATGTCAGTTTATACACACTTGCAAAGAATGAATTCCAAAATGCACGTAAATCCGCATACGAGAGGACATCCAAAGCTAAAGAACAAACTGCTGAAATCATTGAGTCAGAAGAAGAAAAGCGTTCACCAACACCAAAACTTACTGCTGAGCAATTAATTGGTAATGAATGTGTTAGATTCCAAGCACTTAGAGCAGGATTCTTCGCACTTGATAAAGACACAATTCTCAACGCTACTAAAGAAGGTGCATCAGCAGAACCACATCAAGATGATAAGATCGTTCTCAACAGAATTGTCTCAATCAAAGCTGCTGCATCATAAGCATTAATATTAATCATTTAAAATATACATACATTTTTCTTTATTTATAAACAAAACAAAGAAAGAAGTTATCATCATGAAAAACATTCATCTAAACGAATTTTATTAATATATAAAAGATTAATTAAAATGTTAATTATATCTCAGGAATTTTACTTGCTGAGGATACCCTTGAGGTGGGCAGTTGAGAATGACTTTGGACGTTCAAGTGGCATACCCAAAGCTCTGTCCCAGATGAGTTGTGAGGTAACACCAAGAGCTCTTGAAACACCGAAGAGAACAGTGTAGAAGTTTTGTTGAGTGAATCCATAGTGAGTAAGGAGAACACCTGAGTGAGCATCTACGTTTGGCCATGGGTTCTTTGCCTTACCAGCTTCTAAGAGAACGCCTGGAACGATGTTGTAGATTTGGTCAACGAGCTTGAAGTTCTTGTCACCCTTGAGGTGCTTAAGAGCGAATTCTCTTTGAGCTTGGTAACGTGGGTCAGTCTTTCTAAGAACTGCGTGACCGTAACCTGGAACGACTTGACCACCCTTGAGGGTTGACCAGACGTATTCTCTAACCTTCTCATCTGAAGCGTCTTCACCAATTTGTGACTTCATCTTAAGAATCCATGAGAGAACTTCTTGGTTAGCAAGACCGTGGAGTGGACCAGCGAGACCGTTCAAAGCAGCAGCGTATGAAAGGAATGGGTCACTCAAAGCTGAACCGACAAGGTGACCAGTGTGAGCTGAGACATTACCACCTTCGTGGTCAGAGTGGATGGTCAAGTAAAGACGCATGAGTTCAACGAATTGTTCGTTGTTACCGTAACCAAGGAGGGTTGAAAGGTTGTGTGAGTAATCCTTCTTGAGGTCAATAGCTGCGTGCTTGCCCTCACCGAAAACGTTTTGGTAGATACGGCCGGCAATGGTTGGGAGCTTAGCGATCAAGTCCATTGAGTCTTCGAAGGTGGTGTCCCAGTATTCCTTCTTGTTAACACCGTTAGCGTAAGCCTTAGCGAAAGCTGAGTCGTGGTTGAGAGCGGTGACAGCGAGTGAGAATTGAGACATTGGGTGGAGTGACTTTGGACATCTGTCGATGAGTTCTTCGATGAACTTTGGAATTTGTGCTCTGGCAGCCCAGTCTTCTGAAAGAGCGTTGACTTGCTCTTGGGTTGGAACTTCACCGGTAACCTACGTGTTTGTTAGAAAATTTGCAGCAAAAAACTGAGAGAAATCACTCACCAACAAGTAGAATAATGATTCTGGCAATGGTTCATTTCCACCTGGAGCCTTTGGAAGTTGTGCTTGACAGTCTGGGATGGTCAAGCCACGGAATCTGATACCTGTGAATCTGTAAGCGGGATTCTTCTGACAGAAGCAAACATACCCTCTTCAGCATCCAAGACTGATGGTTCCCAGATGAGTGCCTTGATACCACGCATACCTAAAGAAACATTTGAGAAGAATTCCCGCAAACATACTAATAAACTTACCACCGTACCTGTAACAACATCAGCAAAGTCTATATTAATAACACTGTCACTCACATTTGGTCAATGGTGTTCTCACCGAATGAGTGCTTCTTCTCCTCAGCGAGCTTCTTAACTTCCAAAGCTTCCTTTTGACGCTCTGGGATCAACTCTTGGACTCTTTGCTTGAGTGTGGTCAAGTTACGAGCTTGAACGTTTAATCTTTGGCTAGCTTGTACGTTTTTGGTTGCAAGTCTGAAAGACATCCTGATGGTTTGGGGGGAAGAGTTGAAAAAGCGTATGATGGCGTAAATGTGTAAATATAATTTATAAATTGCGGATATTATTATAATACCAATACATCTGATCTAATATATCTAGCCTGCAATCTCAGTATTCCTTCACACTACCCCAATATGTGAAAATCCTTTGCAACAGCTCACGAAGTCATCGGAGAGAACCTCTAATTAATCGGATGTTGTCGCTGTCAATCCCGATTTATGATCGCGTTTTTGTTGGACGTAATATCTATCACCGATTTGCCCCATTTGGCAACTATTACGTACCTTAGTTTACGATTTATCTAGGGCAATTACGAGACTTTATATGATATATTAGATACCACCAGATGATTTACATCAATTTATTCATATTATGAATTCTTTCAATCAATCTAGTAGCCCTCATAACTGAAAATCCTTTTTTAGTACGCCGATGCGCCGACGAATAACATATGATATTATTTTATCATCTCCGATTAAGGAAATGTCAACTTAAAGTAAATGATGCACAATGCACAATGCCGCAACGATGACGTAGTAACCATAACCGGTGGCCTACATCACTAAGTCAATAGGTACGAGTAACTAAGAAATGATCTTCTTTGCGAATATACTGTAGTATTCAATTTATCGCGTTTCTAACAATTTGCTCAAATTTTCATATACACTGTCAATAATAAATCGCAAGAAGAATTTATCACTACTGTACAGTATGACATTAAGCTATAACATCGATTCAAAAATTCAAAAATAATAATCTAGACTACGAATCTCAGATTGAGGTCAATTGGCTGTATATACGTTAGTGAACATCCAATGCAAGGCGTAAGGCTACTCACATGAGCAGAACTGAGTTGTGGTAATTGAGAATAACGACTGATTTCATCTCTTATTGCATTAATAAGATCGAGGTATGAGAGGTTAGAGTATTTAGACATTACGGTAACAAACGCATGCGACATTGCACCACCGCTCGTCATACCGATACTAGCATCAGCTGAAGTTTGACTATCTTTACTGTAATTTCTATCAGCTACCTAAATCATTGATAAAAGTATTACGTACCAACCAGAAAGTGATATCGCATCAGCTGGATGAGTTTTTTGCATTGTCAATTTTTGGGCTTTGTTACCTCTTATTGCACTTTTACCCATACCGAAGAGTGTCTTGAGTGCACTTCCTGAGTCTCCTCTCACATAATTCATACCGGCATTGAGGAGGTTACCGCCCGCTCCTTGCAGACCATTCTGTTCCTTAATTTCACCCTTCGTTGAGTACACATATGGTAAATCAAGTGCTGTACCACTGTGACAAGAGTCAAAAATAGCAGTAAGTCTTGCGCCCGCTGGAAGTGGTCTTACCATACGATCGTAGAGCTCATCATCTATGATCTGACCTGCAGTTTTGTAATCAACTGGTAAAATGGTCTCATCGTAACCATCTGCTTCATCACCAACTCTATCTTTCGCTTGTCCACCGTGACCAGAATAATGCCAAAAGAGACTGTCATTTGGTTGTGCACCGTTTACAAGCCAGCCGATAGCTCTTGTAATATTAGCCCTGGTTGGCATAGACATTGGATTTGATTGATCATCAGTTAAGATAACCATATCTTCTGGTTTGTACCCCCAATTTAATAGGAAACGCTGGACATTCTTAACATCGTTAATACAACCGCGTAGTTGAGAACGTGTGTTGTAGTAATTTATACCAATTAGGAGTGCTTTTCTCTTTCCTGTTCCTTGTGAGTATCTGTAGTCTATCTGGCCACCTCCAGGAGTCGAAGCGTGCTGTATTCCAGATGGTGGTTGTGGTGCACCGCGAGAATGAGCGTACCCAGCTGGACTATGAGCTGCTGGTGGTACTTGACTGTGTTGAGGTGGAGGTGGACCGCCGTAGAAACTTTAGGAGATTAGTGAAATGACGAGAATGATGGTAATGAAGCTTACCCTCCTGGATTAGGTGGTGGCGGTTGTTGATATCCATATCTAGAGCTCGATTAGGTCGCCATTCTTATCAAAGAATTTAGAAGTTAACTTACGGGGACGGCATTTGTGGTGGACTGCATATTATACGTCAGTGATAGGCTAATAATGTATTAAAACGTACGTATGAGTGCTGTGATATCTATTTCCTGGGTACATACTTGATTGTTTTTGTTTAAGAATGCTAAAATAAGCCAAGAGCTGTGTAGGCTATTTCGGGAATACGGGAATGGCTGACTTAAATGACTTTAGAGAGGACAGTAGACAGTATAGAACGTACAGTCATAACAACAATGACACAAGTAAGATATATTTTAATATTGATTAAGTACATGCGAATCCGTGATAAAAAGGTATTTGAATAGCGAATTCATAGCTATTCATTCCAATTCACCATTTACTTACGTCCAGCTTTCTTGCTCTTCTTGTTTCCCTTTTTGTTGGTCTCATCACCGCTCGTTTCGTCAGCTGATGATGCACCCCCTTTGTTCTTGCGCTGCTTCAACTTTGCGAGTTCAGGAAGCCAATCATCGTTACCTTCCTTTTGCTCTTCAATCTTAACAGGACGAATTGGTGCAGATGGCTTGTTCTCTTTAGCTTTGTTCTTCTTCTCATTTGGCGAAAGTGGGTTGATATAGGTTTCATAGACGAACTTAAGGACGAAATAAGCGATACCAGCTAAGAGCGCATAAATTGAGAGCATTTCGAGGTCAAGAGTTTGCTTTGGCTCTACAACTTTGAGTACACCGGTAAAAGCGTCAAGTACGTGGCTAATACGCTCATTGTCACGTACTGTTACGCTAACCTCAAGCTTTAAGTCACCTGTCTTGAACTCAGATGGGAAGCTGTAAACGTATGGTGTTGTTGAGTTACTAATGAGTGTCTTACCAATGTTCGTAACTGATGGTGCGTCCTTCACTTTTTTATCGTTCTTTACGTTCTTGAAAACGCCTGAAATAGACTCCAAAGTGTAATTAGCTGGATCTGAATTGAGTGAATTGATGAGAAGATTGTTGGTTTGTCCATTTATAATGACATTTCCATCAATCGATAATCCACTTATTGAGTTTATTATAGCAGACTTAAGCTCTATTTGAGGTGCCTTTACTGAGCTGCTAACTGAAGCTGTAATAGCGTGAGAAGTTACTAACTATGAATATATATAAGCATACCAATCGCTACACCCGCTAAACTAATCAATGGTAGTAATGTTATTCTCATTTGTTCGTTAGGACTTCCTCAACGTTGCGGACAATGAAATGATCAAACGACGTGTAAAGAAATTAATAAAGAAAAGACAAAGTTATTTTTGGCGATTAGCAAATTATATAATTTAGTATCTGTCACTGTATTTCTATCAGCAAAGTTCTGATTCCACGGTACACACTCACTCGTCGGCTGGTGCTGGTGGTGGTGGTGATCTCTTGAATAGGCGTTAGATAATTTCTAATAGATGCATTAAATACCCACCTCACGCTCGTAGCGATCGTATCCACGGTCGAAATCATCACGTCTTGGTGGTGGTGGTCTTGAATCGTAGTCATCGTAGCGTGATGATCTTCTTGGAGGTGAGCGTGATCTGCCACGTCCACCGTAACCACCGCCACCTGCAGAAGGCTCAGCAGTCTAGACGCGTCGTTAGAAGTAATTCGTCCAAAACACTATACGCACATCGGCTACGACTTGGACAGGGATACCCTTGAGTTCCTTGTTGTCGAGTCTAACAACTGCATCATCAGCGTCAAACTTGGATGGGTACTCAATAATGCTACAGCGTGTTATCATAATGCTCAATAAACTCTTATATAACTCACCCTTGGCCTGGAACATCACGGTCAACATCTGCACGAATAACTGGACCACCGTCACGACCAAAGTCTTTAAGATCCTAAACCGAGCGAGAGCGCCATTTAGCCAAATCCAATTAAGAAACTAACACGCAAAATAAAAGGATGGAAGGAATTGAGAGCACTTTCGACCGTAAATCGAGCCTAACCAAATAAAAAGATCCAGATCCCTCATTTCACGCGATAGAAAAGAATAGACGAACCTGCCAGCTTGTATCCCTATCGATACCTTGAACGAAGACCTTGTAGCCTTGGTTTGGTTTTGGACCGCGTTTTTCACGTGGTGGTGGACCATAATCGTCTCTGTAACGATCATAGCGATCACCGTACCTGTCACCGCGGTCGTATCTATCATATCTGTCGTAGTCTCGTCCACCACGGTCATATCTGTCGTAGTATCTATCGTATCTATCATAGCGATCATAGCGATCGTAGCGGTCGTACCTGTCATAACGGTCGCCGCGGTCGCGATAATCCCTTGGTGGTGGTCCGTAACGGTCGTCACGGTCACGCTTTTGTTCTTTGGCGTAGTCGATTGTCAACTGTTCACCCATGAAATCACGTCCTCTGAAGCTGAAGAAGGTATTATGAGAGTATTCTAGGATATCCTACTAAACGCACTTATCGAGTACATCTTCTGCATCCTAAATTGCTGATTAGATATGCATAGTTGTGGTAGCATAATACTCACTCTTGAACTTTCAAATTCAACGAAACCAAATCCCTTGTGCTACTAAAAGTCAATATGCTGTACTATCGATAATATAATCCCACTAACGGAGATGATACGGATATCGACAAGTGGACGTGGCTTGAATAAATCTTCACTAATTTACGGTTAAATGAGAGATAAAGGATAAATATATCCCTCACAGATCCTCTTTTTGACAGTCTGGGTTTAATCTCCCAAGATAAAGACGCTTCGTTGGTGCAGACATCGTGGCGGTTGAACAGAACGTACGGCATCTCAAACCGGCGATGTAAGAAAGAAAACTTTTAATATATTTATTTTTCAGTTATTTTAGCTATATTCTATGCATTTCATGTATATCTCCTCTCATCTCTCTGGGTAGAAGTTTGGTCAGCTGAGGATGCAAGAAATGCTACGATATGGATGATAATAAGATATAATGTATATTATCTCATATGTAGATCTAAATGACTATCAATTAATCAACTAGCTGTTATCATCCGTGATCATCGTATATTACTGAAATACGGATCTTTTTCACTTATTGCTAACCTTTTTATCAGCGGACCGTTAGTTCCTACGCCAACCAATCGAAAATTTGATTCTGCTCGATCATTATACAAAGGTACACATGATATCGTCATTTATTGAGACACAATTCGCATGAACATAGAGGACGAGAAGTTTAATATAATCTCCGACCTATCAGGATCATATTCCGCCCTAATATAATGCTCGTTTCGCATTCATTTTGGTTCTCTCCAACCGGAATGACGTCTTAAGATCTCTCAGCCTTGTTCCTCAGGAAAGGTCAGCAGACTAATTCGTCAAATTTAAAAAAATGGGAGAGAGACCCTTACCTTACTTACAAGACAACCAAATGAAACTCCCTTACTCAACACTTACATCTGCTTCCCTATTAGCCGGTAGAGCAGCAACAGATAACAATCAATGTTTCGGAAGTTCAACGGGACAACCTTTATCTGAGGGCACATACGCGGAACCACTCAGACCTCAAATACACTATACTCGTTCGTTTACATACTCATTATTGTTAACAATCTGACATTAATCCAGCTTCTGAAAACTTCATGAATGATCCAAATGGTTTGATTTACGCTAACAACGTTTATCATTTATACCATCAATGGAACAGCAAAGAGAACGTCCCCGGCTACCAAAATTGGGGACATGCTACCAGTGAAGACCTCTTACATTGGGACCTCCATCCTGCTGCAATCACACCAGACAATGACGACGGTCCATTTATTTTCTCAGGAAGTGCCGTCATCGATGAAAACAACACTTCCGGTTTGTTCGACGAATCAACATCACCTACAAACAGATTGGTAGCTATCTACACAGAGGCTTCATCAGAGAAAATACAGTCTCAGCATGTTGCTTATTCCACCGATGGTGGTTATACATACACTAAACGACCAGAACCGGTGATAGATATCAACAACCCGGAGTTTAGAGGTTAGTATGGCTTCACTTGTTATCTTTTTGAGCTCATTCGCGATAGATCCAAAGGTATTCTGGTATGAACAGGACTCTAAATGGATAATGATAGTCTCTTTGGCTTCCCAACATCAAATGATCATTTACGAATCAAAGAATCTCATAGACTGGAATGAAACATCGAGATTCGGTAACGTTGGTCAATTGGGCTACCAATACGAATGTCCAGACCTTTTCCCACTCAAGATCGAAGGTAGCGACGAAGAAAAATGGGTTTTGATCACATCCGTAAACCCAGGTGCTATCCGCGGAGGTGGATCAGGTACTAGTTACTTTATTGGTGATTTCGACGGCAAAACATTCACACCAATTGACACAGCAGTCAGAGAAATGGACTTCGGTTACGATGACTACGCTGGTGTTACTTTCAACAATGTACCAGATGGCCGCAGACTCTGGATTGGATGGGCTAGCAACTGGCTTTACACTGGTAATGTTCCAACAGAGCCATGGAGATCATCCTTGACACTCGTTCATGAATTATCACTCACTCAAGTCGACTTAACTGATCAACATCAAGCTTTAGCACTCAGACATAAGCCAGTTGACCTTTCAAGTCTCATCACTGAAACCGTCAAAGAAACAAACTCACCAATGTCATCCGACTCAATTGATTTCCCAACTAAAGGTGCAGTTGATCTCTCAATCGATGTTTCATTTTCATCAGAAACAGAGGCATCAAAATCTTCAAAGTCAGCATCACGTATTACAATTGAGAGTGAGGATGGTGTAAATTCAATCGAGTTTGGTGTTCAATTTTCCGACCACATTGTTTACGTCAACAGAGCTAATTCTGGTTGGTCCGCACCTACATTTGGCTCTCTTGGTGCAACTTCTATTACTATCCCAGATGATAACAAAGTCAACTTGAGAGCAGTAATTGATCACTCTCAAATTGAATTATTCGTTCAAGATGGTATTCACTTCGCTTCAATGGTCTTCTACTTCCAAGACGGTCGTGTACCTGCACGTCTTCGTTACGAAAATGAAGAAGGCGTCACAATTGACCACCTCAAGTTAGACGCTTTGAAGAGTATCTGGGAATGTTAAGATCTCACAATTACTAAACCAATTTTATTGTAAAGAATAATAGACCTTTCGTAAACATATATATAGCCTGCGATCAAAATACAATTCAAAGAAAATAGAAGGAAAAAGATAAAAAGAAAAGGCTTGTAAAATAGCTATCTGAAGATCTTGTATTAACCAACCTCCTAGTTCTAAGAACTTTCCACTCACCCAAGATGATTAGATCTATACAAACTTATTGAACACGCGTCTGTAATTATCTCTCGCTCTCTTGAGGTGATTATATGACTTCTTGTTCAAATACGATATACCATCATTGATAGAATATTCTGCTTGTTGACTAAGGCGGTTTATCTGTTTAGACGCATGTCGAACATGCTTGCGAATTACAGGTGGAGCATGTCTTATGACATCGTTATAAACACTAGCTGTATAGTCGATAGTATGCTTCGTAACAAATTTGGCATTCTCGTAACCAATTTCAGCAGCAGTGTAACTAATTCCAATTAAAGTCTCAACCAATGCAGCTATTTGGCGTAAATGCTCATCCAAGTAGTAAAGTGATATAACGTAAGCTTGCCCGCAGATTTCTTCCACCTTACTTAAAACAGTGTCAATATTCAATTGTTCCCGTAAAGTTAACTCATTTTGATTTGTCTGGCTATTAAGTGCATTTCGCTTGGGTATATGCGCGACAACATCTAAAACCTGATTGAAAATTGACAAATCGGTTGTTGGCTTAGCCTGATCGATTGTCTTTAATCTATAATTACCCATCGGGAGGGGCTTAAAGCTGAGCGATGGCGTAATATGGCAAGAGGGGGCCTTATCAGCCGAGGAGCTACTCCTTGGTTGAGTGTACGATGTGTTATTCAACTTTGATAACCAGTAAGTGTCGTAGCTACCTTCAGTAGCCAATTTAAAAACATTCAGTGCTAGCATAGATACTAGTAACAGCCCGAAAACGCTGCACGTACTGATAGCAAGGTAAAACGTTAGTAGTTCAATAAAAGAAAATTTTCGATTTACTATTTAAAGGACCAGAGAGAATACCTGAAACATACATCGGTAAGTTCGGCCTGTAAGCTGGCCCTATTACACTTTTCCTCAACCTTCTCCGGTTGGAAATGTTCCTTGGTGTCATACGCTGCGAAGTTTTCATCAGTTTCGGTGCCTTCGAGATCTCCAAACAAGCTCCTAAGCTTATGTGAAGCTGTGTTGTTAGTTAGTTCGTTAAGTGTGAGTGTCTCTTCATCCAAGTCTCCTTCAGTTTCATCCAAATCAAATTTGATAATTTTAAGCTTAGACTTGAGCTTTAAAGCATTTGCATATACCATAATAGTCTCATTGTTAAGAGCATTTGTAGGAATGACAACGATAGTGGGCAAATTTTCAAGTAAAATTTTGAAAATTGAGTCCTTGAAGGATGTAAAATGGCGCCCTATGTAGTAAACAAAACGTACCTGTAATTTATCGCTGTCGATACTGACATCCTCAAAGTAAAGCTGAAAGAAGTTGCCCGGCTTACGCCATTCCTCATCATTGACAGGAAAACAAATATCAGGGTTGCTCGCATTGATGATATACTTAGTATGATCCTTCTCGATGACAAAACCTGAAATATTGTCGTATACACTCTTAATAAAAGACGATTTGATGCGTTGTGATACATTGGGGAAATCGCCCATGTTGAAGACAACGAGTTTGAAAGGGGAGTGTGTAGATGTGCCACTTTTTATAGTGCGTGCGGATGAGCTCAAAGAGTTATCTGCATTTGTATTCTGCAAAGAATCGGACATATGATGTGGGATCGCCATGAGGTTTTCGTCATGACTGCTCTGATTGGTAGTACTAGCTGTAGACTCAATATCTGATGGCCACTCGTCTGTAGCTTGAGAGACGCTTGATTGGTGCTCCAAAGCATTCTCAAAGTGGCTCTTGTCTAGCGGGTCTGGAAAGGAGAGCGACAGGTCGTCCTCATCCGTTAGCTGGTGTGCGACGTCGAGCCAGTCTGTAGAGCCAGAAATATCACTCATGATGGCTTTCTATAGACGTCTATTAGTACGTTTCTAGACTAAATTGCTGTCTCACAAAATACTCCTGATGAATGTACGGGAGTTATGTCATATATAGCCCATATCAGCAGAAAAATAAATTTTGAGCGAAAAACATTGTTGTATTCTAATAAATCACAGCATTTTATATATACCTACATCGTATATTTTCTGATATGATCCAGTCATTTAACCCTTTATGGCATTCATTATTCACGACGACCACACTTCTTTATCTCGAACGATGACGATTAACGTATTTTTAAACAATAATACAACGATACACGTCGAGGATGTTAACCTCACTCTTAAAGATATTCTCGGTGGCACTGCACTCAATATGAAGTGCTCAAAGGATCTTACCCATACAGTCGCAGAATTGTGCGGTGAAACCAACTTTGTTGACGTGCATGTTACCCCTAGAATGCTTGGTGGTAAAGGTGGTTTCGGTGCTCAGTTGCGTTCTGCTGGTGGCAGGATGAGGTCAAATCGTAATCACAACACAGACGCCTGTAGAGACCTCTCAGGGCGTCGTATATCAACTCTCAAGGAAGCACAAAAGTGAGTTATTGGTACCATAAACTGTTCATTCATCTAACAATGCTCAAGAGTTGCTGATTACCTCGAATCATCTGAAGAACGTGAAAAGAAGCTCAAGCAGGAGAAATTAGATAAGGTAGAAGCAATGGAGAAAAAACTCGAACAACAACCCCAAAAGAGGAGACTGGATGACGACCAGTTTTTTGAGAAAAATAAAGATATGAACGATAACGTAAGATCATCTGTCGCCAAAGGTCTCTTAGCAAAGAGACGTAAAAAACAAGCATCAACGGATAATGCCGAAGCAAGCACATCCAAGAGCTCAACAACCAGCGCTCCAGCTAAGGTAGTTGAAGAATCTTCAAAATCACTTCAAGCAAGTGCTTGATTCACGAATCTCCCAACTAAGAAAGTATGTAGTATTAGTAAATTAAGTGTATGGATAAATCAATAAATATTGTTATATGCTCATTGCTGATCTCAGGTATATGTACTATTTAACTTAAGCAATATCCTACGCCGTGTAATTTATAGTTTCGTCAGAGTTATTAGCGAGATTATCGAGCAGAAACTTTGAATTCTGCTGAAATGTCCAAATCGATGAGGGACTTCCTTTGCCCATGTGTAGGATAATATTGTCAGGCGTCTTTGAAGAATTGGTTATGGTAGTTAATCTGTAGTCTAGTATCGGGTCGCTCATCTGAGATTTCAACTCTATGTGAGCGTGAGTGTACTTATACTCTTTCAAAGGGCAAACTTACCATCAATAAAGCTATTGAGATTTGCATCTACACTATCAGTATCAATTGTGCTAGAATTTCCGGCTTCGAATGAGGAATGGGTAGTATTTGATGTTCTCAATGAACTCATATCCCGTCTCAGTTTCTCAAGTCTATTCAGACCAACCTGGCGGTGAATATGTCCTTTAGTTTTCTGAGTACTAGTCCTTCCTATTGGAATGCTACGGTGCCTGTAGGAGAATTCGGACACCGCGTTGGAAATCTTCCTCGATTCCACGTAAAAATTTTCAATAGTTTGGTGAATGATCTGGAACAAGTTGACTGATATATATAAATACTACTCCACAATTAAGTGAATCGAAGTTAATGTAGGAAACTCACATTCTCAACCACCAGGAGTATATGATAGGTTAAAGTGATGTTGAAATTGACTGGATGATGTTACTTGATTGAATTGAAGCAATATCAACTCACAAATGGCAAACCTGGGGATGGTATAACTTAATCCATATATAGATAGAATAAAAAGACCCGTTTGTATGTAGGTCTCACGCTTTTTCAAATCAAAGTCAACGTTGATCAGTATTCCAATCATACCAAGTACGGTGGCGATCCTATTGAGCAGCATTATAGCTGATGCGGTGAAGTAAAGTCCGTGATGGACGAAGACTGAAAGTCCGAAAACATTGATCGTACACAAACGAGTAGTGATCTCAAACTGGAGGATATTTTACATATAAATAACAATTACCATTTGTTTACCTACTATTGTGAACATGGTGGGCAGAAGAATGACAATTATTATGGCTGTGCATTCGAACTTATGGTAAACATTGTTGAAAGCAGCTTTAGATAAACTGGTGAGACCAGTGTATGTGGTAATATCGGCAATAGTAAACAAGGAAAGGCCTATTCCCAATCCTTCAAAAATTGAATAACATATCTGTGTGGTCAGAGATGGAGATGAATTAGTAGCCAACCCGATCAGTGAAGCAATAGCGAGCATCGTGCATGCTGCTGACATTGATATCAACACTCTGCGGTTTGGTTTTGTAGATACATTTCGTAGTTCCCTTATCACAGAGATGGCTGCAAGTGAAAGGAGCGATGGTGTGAAAAGGACTAAAGCAGGTATATATCTCGTCACCTGCGCAAGTTGCTAGTATTATTTTAGGTTTTTATAACCCATCCATAGCTTGACTTACTGAATCTGACATTGTGGAAAATGATCAAGTGGCACAATACATAGTTCTGTTATGTATAAAAATGAAGACAAAGGTTACAAACATTTCCTGAAGTGACTAACAAGCATTCTGGTGAAGCTTCAGTTGTGACGAATGCCTTGTTGGACAAGAAATCAAAATTTGCAGCATACCTTTACTAAACAGTCAGCTTTCATAATAATACTTTGAGATAATTCGGTATATCCGAAGCTATTTATTGATTGTAGCGTCAATACGTGTATCTCATACTGGGCAAGAATAATGGCAGCTAGTCATCGTATTGAGAATTATCATCTAGATGTGTTTGAATAATATAGGCAGCCACCGGAATATTCGTTCCTTGGATTGCTGTTACTGAATCTGGAGTATCTTCGTCATTTATCGCTATCGAGGGTTGTATTTTACTTCTGCGCATAGTAGCACTTCTAGTGTTGTCATATTCGAATGGATCTTTGGTACTACTAGTTGGGGTGCCAACCTCGCTGCTATAAAGGTCTTTGCAGCTCTCTAAATTTGTGAAATGATATGATCCAAGGACTGTTTTCGGGTATGCAATGGTTTGGGAGCTAGTCACTCTCCATGGAAGAATTGCACCCACTAATACGTGTCAGTACTGAATTACTACTTCATTAGTCTCACCGTTAACGCTTGGAACGTTCTCGACATCACGTGTGTTGATTGTCTGTCTCGGAAACCGGGAGTCCTCCCACTGGAGAGCCATTGAGGCTTTTACGAAAAGTATTAATATGTAGGACAGCTAATGCTAATGTTATCTCACATGGATGTTATAAATCTTATACTCACTGCCTCGACACCTTGCAAGATGACGTATGTTTGATCGACAAAGACATCCTTCGAGAGACGAATAGATCCATTTACCATCGGAACTATAGCAGCTGTCAATATCAAGACTACTTCGATACGATGTGCGTATAAGTGGAATCTGATCATGAAAGCAACACCAATTAAGGCGTACAGTGATATATGTATCAAGAAGATACCTATTATAATATCCAGGTAGCGCATATGGGTATCAAACCATAAATAAAGTCTAAATGTCATTTCTAACTATAGTGGCGACCCGTTGTCATTAAATGTAGATACATCGATATTAATGGCGAGCTTACTATTAGATATGTCACCATAACAAGTACCATTGTAGTAAGGAATAATGCAGAGAATGTTCTTGCCGAACACTTTCCTGATATCACCTTAGTTATAGCAAAATACCAGGCAGGCGAGATCAACATTAGCAGAGTACTAATGAATAATGCTCTAGACACAGCCATAAAACAGCTGATTACTAGATCGTCTGGCATTTATATGTTATCACAGTGTTGCGAGTTTGTTTAAAGGATGATGTTTTACAATTGGACGGAAGTAAAATTGACACAACAATAAAATCGAAATTTATGAAAGATAACAGCTTAGTGTGTTATTAAAGTATTCACAATGTTATAATAGCGTTAATGTCGCCTCACTGAATTAATGTACATAATTGAAATAAAAATCAGTTTCTTCATATCTTCCTGGTAAACAAACATTCAATGGAACTCAAATAATTAGAACATATTTGTTATATAGAAGAAAAAGGAAGCAAAAACAATTATGCAAAAAAGAAAAGCAAAAGATTGGAGCAGCCCGGAATTGAACCGGGATCGGAAAGAAACAACAAGTCACTTCGCTCTGAAGGAAAGAACTATGCAAGCCTTCAATGATAACCATTACACTACTGCCCCGCTTGATCAATCCGATCTTAGCTATCACCCATATCCATCAATCTTCAAACACCTTAATATCCTCAATTTCGTCTCTCAATAATAATACAGCTTCCCGAAAACCCTTCCCTCAAATATCCCACTCAGCAAGTACAAAACCGAAAACATATGACGTGATGACTGACAACCGCGAAAACGGCTAGTTCTCCACGCAACAACCTAGAGCGACAAAACGCCTTGCTATATAGCTACCCACAAGTCATTCCCCGCTATAAACCTATACCACTATCCCCTT